TTTTTTTGAAAAGTTATCTTTAATTTTTTTTTTTTTTTTTTTTTGGTCTGATACAATAAACAGGCGTAGGTCTCTCTTTGTTGTCAGACTACACTGAAGGACGTTTTCGAAATTTATTATTTAACGATACAACAGAATGTATTCTGAAGCATTCAAAGCAAATTTAAACTATATTTTGTACTTTGTTCAGCAACGTTATTGTTCTGTTTCAGTGACATCATATATTGTAGGTCTTCTTAACTGTAAGCAGGACAATTAGAGCTTACCGTACGGTACCTCTTATTGTATTTGCCTTATCCTGGTGGTTAGATCTTCGCATACATCCTATAGGCCTCGTGGTCTAGTGGGTTCGAATCCCACTGAGCATTTTTTTTATACAATTACGATTTATATATTACAGTATGTATATATATCGTCATAAATCCGCGTGTGTTCTTGAAATTATATAAAAGGCGTTGAAACAAGGAATTGAAGCAACGAGTCATGTGGACTATAAAACACTTGTTTATTTCAAAAGAAATTTTCGACCAATCCTCTGGTCTTCTTCAGCCTACAAAACTAAATGACCATTTATATCGTTTTTTAAAGAAATTGTTTACATCTAATCCCTCATATCCATGTATAATCTTAAAGGTTTCAATAAGGTCTCCTCTCATTCTTCTCTGTTGTTAGTCCAAGATTGCACAACCTGGTACGTACCTGACGTACCACTTACGAATTTTTTCAGCTCTACGTTTCAATAAAAGGAAGAATAGCTTTTACTTTTCATGTTTCCATATTATATTTTTCATTGCCTGGAATTAAGCACTCTATAATCGATTAAATTAGTCATCTAATCCGTTAAAATGCCGTAGCTTCCGGCCTTTCCCTCCGGCTTCCACCTGGGATCTTCTTCCTCGACCCCGCTGGGGCCCTAGGTTTCCCCCAGACCCCCAGCCGATGGGCCCGGGCGGCAAAGTGGCCCCGGGACCTACGGCCGCTCTCTGCGGCCCTGGGTGATGGTACGGTAACGAATACCAATACCGAATATATCACTGTCTTAGACTTGTTCGTCTATATCTCATTAATCGTTCCAGAGTTTTTAGTCAGCATCATTTTTGTGTCTTGAAAAATCAGTTGTACAACATAAAAAAATTTCCTTCCGGATACTGGGTATGATTAGAAGGAAACATCTTAACCACCAAGCTAAATGTCGACACAGGTCTATGGATGAATGCACATGAATGGTTATGCTTAATATAACCAGAGGTGGATCCAGTAGAGGTACGGGGGAACGTGCCCCCGTTTTGCCACTAAATTTTAAAAATGTCAATGCATATTAATGTTATGTGCTACTCCCTTATCTATTCTGATACTGTTGTGCACCCCACCCCCGTCCCGGTCTGGGTCCGACCCTGATATCTCAAGTAGGTTTTCTTTCCTATATATTTGCGAAATAGTTTGACTAACCAAGCTTTTTTTTATTTTTATTATTTAGATTTCATACCGACGCCCTTCATTTCTTGTTCAAACTACTTGAACTGTGACAAGACTTGGATGTATTACACCAATGAATTTGCGTTGTTAGTAGTTCACACCCGAATCTAAAGCAAGCACCACACAAGTTTGCTACAGGATAGAACCTGAACTTTCATTAAACACTCAAGAATATAAAAGATAATCTACCGCTACCTTCTAGATGAAATTGAATTGCTTTTAGCAAAAAGTGCGACATGAGATCGCAGCCAACGCATTTCCTACGTGGATGTACGCTCATCACAGTACTCTTTTTGGGATTTTATGTCAGAAGCAGTAAGTAAAATTTTGAATAAATAATTAGTACCAATAATGTTGGTATGTATCTGTATTTCTATTAATATGATATTTATTTATTTATTTATTTAAAATTTCGTCACGATATGTATAAATACATATTGACCAGGGGCGTGACTAGAGATGACATGGGCTAAAGCCCAACACAACAAGTGGTCATCTCTAAACTCCTAGCCAACAACAATAGGATAAAATATATAAAAAGCATATAATATATGGAAAAAATACGGAAAACAATTTAAACATTCAAAGAATCAATAAAATAATAAGAAATACAGTCAACTTGTGATCGGATGTCAGGAGGAACAGTGTTCCAGAGTTTGGCTCCTTCGACAGATTTCTGGATGTTCTCAAGCTGCTCAACATGTGACCTCCGTCGGTACCCAAACTGAACAGCAATATTCTAAAACAGGTAAAACAAGATTTATACAAACGCAAAAAGAAAAGTGAACCTTGGCCAACATAAATACGGGAAATAAAACCAAGCGATCCAGAGGCTCTGGAACAGACATTATGTATATGAGTTCTAAATGTGAGATCAGATGAGACATGAACCCCGAGTAATTCAGCTTCATGGACAAGTTAAATTCTGGAGTTATAAATTAAATAATTTGGCAATGAATATAATTATGTTTTATTATGCTGTAGAGGTATTTTACATTATGCGCTATATAAATTGATAATTATTATTATTATTATTATTATTATTATTATTATTATTATTATTATTATTATAATATTATTATTATTATTATAATATTATTATTATTATTATGTAATATCTTATTATAATTAATTATTGAAATAGGTATAGTTATTTGTTCATATAAATGAATTCAAATTTGAAAGTCGAAGCTGATTGTGTATTGCACTTAATAAGATAAGATAAGATAAGCTTTATTGGTCTATTTAAATATAAAATTACATAAACAGAAATGTTTCTTGAATCTGGCATAAGCACGTCAACACCAACAAACATCAGATTACAGAAGCAAAGAAATTGTAACGCATCTACTCATTACATAATTTAAATATTATATATAAAAATATTTTAAACATTAAATATTAATTAAAATAATAGTTATTACGAAAAAATTCATTTACAACAAATTAAATTGAATATTAATTAAAATTATGATTATTTTACGAACAATTTTATTTACAATAAATTGAAAAGAATTCAATATAAAAAATATCAATTGCAGTTCAAATATATATCAAAAATTTAAAAATTGCACATGAATACAAGACAACTCTAACAATTACATACATACATACACACATACACACAAAAATACACCAGGTACATAAAAAGAACTCGTGCAAGTCAAGAATCAATTATAATTATAAACTACAAAAATTAAAGCACAATATATACAAAAACAACAACACCAAAAGCGATAACATAAAAAACATAAATAAACTTGACTAGCATACAATGGCGGGGTGAGTTTTCAAGTCCAATCATAAACATCCAGGATATTATTATTTATTTTAATTTCAATGAAGATAACTATCGTTTGACATTCAAGTTGTAAAAATGAATTCCATTGGGTATTCATTTATAATAGTAACTTTGGTATGGTGGGCACAATATGTTTTTCTCAAAAATGTTTTATCATCTTTCTTTCTCACCAGTGATGGTGTAACTCCATACCAAATTCATTTCCATGTGATGTAATAATATTATTACACAATACCTTGTGAGTAAAAACGTGTCCTAATGGAAAAATCCTCGGTGTATTACCACTTTTCCACATAGTTGGTAGAGCATCCGAACGGTAATCGGAAATCTTGAGTTGAAATCTCGATGGGGAGAGTACGATTTGCTCAGTGAATTATTATCTTTATTACATTTTAAAAACCAATAAACATAACATCAAGTTCTATAAAAACAAAACAAAAAAATGTCATAAAATGGCATAGGCTATTATAGATAAAATATGCATTAAAAAACAATTTAAATAGGCCTTTGATTAATAAAAAAAAATAGCTATTGATTGATTGATTGATCGATTGATTGGCACGCCTAGAATATCTATGTATTACCGTTTAACATAATATAATATATCTACTACTACTTTAATGCATGACATAATGTGGTTAGGCTCATCATTATGTACAATTTTACTCAACCGAAGCAGCATAAATACTACGTTTCTCTATGTTTATTTTCCCTTATCCTATACCTAAGCATAATTTTGCTGGATTATTTCGGGTTTTCCCAGTCTGTGCACTAATATCTCTTTACCTATTGTCCTGTTTCTTTTAATAGGGTAGCCTTCTCAGTAAAATACTGCACATACGGCACATTTTTACAAGACGAAGGCCTGATTTTGATATTTCCCCCTGATTTCGAACATCCACCTTAGCCTAATGAGCCACACTAAATAATTTTTAACTTTACAGTTTAAAAGTACCGTACTTGACCAAACATGATTAATATCGCGAAGTACATAGGGCCTATTACCAAATATGCCTTGATTGTTTAACATGATTTCCTGATCTTGTTGTTTTTTCTGATGCATCTATTTTTCACTTTCGTCTTATATTTATATGTATTTGTATTGGTTTAACTGTTGTTCTTTTGTATGGAAATGAAATTCCGAAATAAAAGATGAATGAATAGCCTATATTACTTCATTTGCGGTTATAAAGTGTTCACTGGATTTCGCCACTACATGTGAACCGCATTACTCGCGCGGCCTTGTAATACATAGGCCTATTATTATGTACGTCCATAGGCCTACTAGAGGCCTATATTATATACTGGTAATACTATTATTCTTTTATAAAAATGAATAAATTTACAACGCTTGCAGGGTCTATAGATGATAGTGATTTAGGAATCTTGGCGGCGGCTTAATTTCGTTAAAAAATAATATTCCCAATATTCAAAAATATTTTAACTTTAGCTTGATTGATTTACTGAAGGAATCTAGGGTGTTCACAATACTAATGTTGGGCTAAAACAAGCAGTTAAGCGACGAAATGAATGCTGCGTGTTTATGGCGCGTCGCAAAAACGGTTTAAGGCCTGTTTATACTTCAACGATAACGATAAAAAAAGCTAAAAAGCAATTGTTCATATAGAAAATCAAAAGAAATAAGAGAAGTTTTTACACTAGAACGATTCAATAACGATTTATCAGTTATGCGATAACAACATATTTTGACAAATCAAATCAGATGACGTCGTTCGCACAAGCTGTTGCTAAGCAACAGCCTGTTAACTCTCTTACGAAAACAAAGCGAAAGGGAAATCCCCTGGTTCCGACTGAGGGCGTTAATCGCAAGCATGTTGCTTCTGCGTCGGTACTACGTGAGAATGCGGATAATTCACGAACTGTGTTAAATTATAGGCCAAGTAATGAAATTCGTGTTGATATGTTTGAAGATGATGAAGGATTCCGGTTCCAGCGTAACTCGCAGAGTCGACGTAAAAATAAACGTGGAACTGGAAAAAATATTGCTCTTAAGGGTAGAACACCTCCTCCGTGTAAATTCTACTTGGGTAACATGTCTCCTGATACTAGCACTGAGGATGTTAAAAATCATCTAAAAGTATCCAAGGACATTGTAGCTGATGTATCATCTTTGCCCTGTAAAGTTACGGGCTGTGCTTCTTTTATGATTAAGTCTGATGCAGTGCATATTAATGATATTTATGATAGAGATTTATGGCTACTTAATGCTACAATTAGACGGTATTATGATACTAGTTTCATTAAACATGATGATGATGGGGGATGGGCCTAATGATAATAATAATAATAATAATAATAATAATAATAATAATAATAATAATAATAATAATAATAGTAAGTCATTGTCACGGTTGAGGTGTGTTTCCTACAACTGCAAATCACGCAAAAAAGAGATTTATGATTTATTTAATGATATTGTAGCTATTCAACACTGGCTTACTGATGACGAATTGTTTATACTTAAGTCATTTCATGCTGACTTTGACTGCATTAGTGTCTCGTCGGTTTGCAGTTCTGACGGAATACTGTTGGGTCGCCCTTTTGGTGGAGTGGCCATCTTTTATAGAAAAATGTTATCAAATTTTATTTGTAAGGTAGATATAAATGATAAAAGATTGGTTGCAATTACAGTAGGAAACAGTGATAATTTGTCCCTCCTTATTAATGCTTATCTCCCCTATGACAATAATGCCGATAACTTAATTGAGTTTATTGATTATCTAGGTAAAATCCAAACGACTATCAACGAATTTCATAGCAACAAAGTTTGGCTTACTAATGATGAATTGTTTATACTTAAGTCATTTCATGATGACTTTGATTGCATTAGTGTCTCGTCGTTTTGCAGTTCTGACGGAATACTGTTGGGTCGCCCTTTTGGTGGAGTGGCCATCTTTTATAGAAAAACGTTATCAAATTTTATTTGTAAGGTAGATCTAAATGATAAAAGATTGGTTGCAATTACAGTAGGAAACATTGATAATTTGTCCCTCCTTATTAATGCTTATCTCCCCTATGACAACAATGCCGATAATTTAATTGAGTTTATTGATTATCTAGGTAAAATCCAAACGACTATCAACGAATTTCATAGCAACAAAGTTGTAGTTTGTGGTGACTTTAATGCTGATATCAAAAAGAAATTGGGTAAAAGAACTTTTAAATTTTGTTTCTGAAAATGATTTAGTATTATCATATTTATCTTATTTAGGTGTTGATTCAGATAACTTTACATTCTTGAGTGAATCGCATGGAACCACAAGTTGGTTAGATCACATCATCTGTACTCATGGAGCTAATGCATGTGTGACTAATGTTGATATAGCGTACGATGTTCTGGGATCTGACCATTTTCCTTTATTGTTTGAATACTCTATTAATCTACAGTTTAAATGTCCTGATAATGACAGTAAATCTAGACATGAATATGTAAATTGGAGTAAGGTAAATGCTAATGATATTGACTCATATTCTTTCTTCACTGAATCTCTACTTAGTAATTTTAAAATATGCCCAGATTTGTTATCTTGTAATAATGTTAACTGTAAAAATGAACGTCATCGTTTTGCTATCGATGACCTTTACAACAATATTGTTACTTGCATCTAGTGATTGTCTGAAACCTTAAGATCATATAATATTGTAACGGGTTGGAATGATTATGTTTCCGATTTATATTGTATTGCTCGTGAAGCCTTCCTTCTTTAGAGAACCAATGGTAAATCTAGAGATGGGCCACTGTTCCACTCTATGAGAATGTCTCGATCTCGTTTTAAGTTAGCGTTACGCACGTGTAAGAATAATGATGAACAACTTAGGGCTGATAAGTGGGCTCAGTCACTCAGTGACAATTAGGATTACCATGGCTTTTGGGAAGGTGTTAAATGTATTAATGACTCAAGGTCTAATGTATCTGAGGTTATTGATAATGTTAGTGGTGAGAATAACATATGTAATCATTGGGCTAAATATTTTGGGAATTTGTTTAACTGTGTAGATAACACGACTAATAAAGCTTTCGTGGAAGGAGCATTAGAATACTGCTTACCTATTGGTATAAATGTTACCCCCGATATTGTTTTTAATTGTATAAATAAACTATCCATAGGGAAATCACCTGGCTTTGATGGATTAGGCGGAGAACATCTTATTTATTTATTTATTTATTCTGTCTTTCTACTGCATGCACTTTCAGTACTTGTGTACTCTTTTTCAAAGTGGTACAGTTTCATAAAATACAAAAGTTCAAAGAAAAGTAATTAAAAAACATACATATATATAAATAGATATCATAATAAAAGTGATTAAGAATTAAAAGAGTTTTTAAAAAATATAATAGACATGTTCATGAAATTTGTTGTTGTTTTGTGTGGAAGTTCATTCCACAACTTTGTTGAACGATACAAAAAAGTTCTCTTGCCTTGACAGTTATTCCACTGTGGTACAAAAACGTTATTATGAGATTGACTACTTGTACATTTTGAATGGGATTCGATATTAAATTTAAATTTAGATGATAAATAAGATGGCGCATACCCTTTTAAACATTTAAAAGTCATTAAGGCTATCTGTTCATTCCACCTTACATGTAGTCGTTTCCATGCAAGTGAACTTAACATATCAACAGACAAAACAATGCTACATAATCTGTTCATTCGAACTTGTAAACAATTAGAATATTGAACATTACAATTTGACCAGACACAACAACAATAATCAAAAAGAGGTAATACTAAGGACTTAGCAAGCATTTTAAGAGTATGGGGTGGAAGTAGGTATTTTATACGGCTGATGACACCAATACGCTTAGACAAATTTGAAGATAATTTATTTATGTGGTCTTTCCAAGTTAGTACAGGATCAAAAGTTACACCTAAGTATTTAAAAGAATCAACTCTTTCAATAATATCACCATTCAAATTAAGTGAAATATCTTTAAATTTAGGAAGAATGTAGTTTGGCTTGTCTTTGTCATATTTGTTCTTCCTCATCTTTAAATTTTAATGTTCATAGTATAGCAGGCCTATCCATGAAAAAAAAATTTGTCTCTTCCCTGTGAAACTAGTATAATACATTAAAAATGTTACTTGAAATTAGGGACCCAAAATAGATCCTTGTGGTACACCAATATTGAGATTCATGAGATTAGACTGACTGGAGTTAATAAAAACCGCTTGTGATCTGTCATATATGATATGTAATTCCATAATAATTTAGCTTTTTAGTAGTCCATGATCAACTGTATCAAACGCTTTCTTGAGATCCAGAAATATAGCAGCACTTGCTTTACTATTGTTAAAATTATTTAGTGTGAAGTCGGACATATCTATTAGTGTTGTGTTGGTAGAATGGTTCTTTCTGAATCCTGATTGACATGAGTTGATTAAGTTGTTAGTAGTCAAATAATTATACAGTTGATCATGAACTGCTCTTTCTATTAATTTTGAAACTATTGGCAAAACAGAGATTGGTCTATAATTACTTGATACGGTGCTCTGCTGCTATGGTTAAGGGTGTATGTTATCCGTTTTCCCTTAAGGAAAACGGTTGGGTGGGCGCGATAAGATAAATGGAAAATATTTTATTTACGATAGATTTCTATAGGAAATAATTGCTTGGTTCAGCTTTATCACCATCTTTGTAAATTGGGGTTACTTTGGCTTTTTTCCATTCTGAGGGGAAGGCTGAAGAAAACAAAGATAAATTACATATATTTATGTAAAATGCAAGAGAATCACAAATCACTGGTGCCGCCAGTTTCAATAATTTACAATCAAGTTCATCAAAACCTGAAGCCTTATTGCAAGAAAGTTTACAAATTTCATCAAATATATAATCAGGTGTTATAAGATCAAATTCAAATTTACTGTTAATTTTAACTTTAAAATCAGAGTTAGTACTAGAGGGATTATTTGAAATTTTAGAGGTAAGTTTATTACCAATTGAGGTAAAGTGCTCATTTAATTTATTTGCTGTATCGACTTTATCACAAGATGTATAGCCATCTTTTTTATATACTTTACCTACTCTGACTACATTTTTAGGGATTAGATTAAGTATGCTAGTAAGCGACTCAGTGTACTATTGAGTATATGCTTCAATTCTATGCTGATTCATGGTCATGTAAATTTAGATCTGGTTAAAGTAATTCTTGTTCCGATAGTTAAGAGTAAATCAGGAGATATTACTAGTAAGAATAATTACAGGCCTATTGCTCTAGCATCTGTAATATCTAAGGTGTTTGAATCGATTTTAATAAGTCTCTGTGGTAACACACTAGAATCTAGTGATTACCAATTTGCTTTTAAAGCTAAGCATTCTACCGACACATGTATATTTGTCCTAAAACATATCATAGACTACTATAATAGGAACGGGAGCCCTGTATTTGCTTGTTTTCTCGACGCCAGCAAAGCTTTTGATCGGGTGAATCACTGGTCTCTTTATAAAGAGCTTATAGAGAATGGTACTAATCGTTGTGTTGTTAAACTAATTAAATCGTGGTATGAAAACCAAAGGTTTGTGATCCGTTGGGGTAATTCTATCTCTACCTCGTTTAAAGTTTCTAATGGTGTTAGACAGGGCGGGGTTATGTCTCCTCTCCTTTACAACATTTATATTGGTAGGCCCTAACCTTAATTTTAAGTTAAGCACATTTAATCAGGGTTGTCAATGTGCGAATATTAGATTAAATCATCTTAGTTACGCCGACGATCTTGTTTTGCTTGCTCCTTTGGTTGCAGGACTCCACCAATTGGTTCACGTCTGTGAAAATTTTGCTAGTGAGTATGATATTTTATTTAATGACAAGAAATCGTTCTGTATGCGATTTTGTCCCCGTACGTGTAAATTGGAAGGTAAATCCATAACGAAACTTTTTGGTAAAGAACTTGCATATGTTGAGAAAAACTCTTATCTTGGTCACATTCTTACATGTGATAGTTGTGATGAGGCTGATATTCAAAGACAGTATAGGTCTCTGTGTATTAGAAGCAACTCTCTTATTCTTAAATTTATGAAATGCTCTAAAGATGTTAAATGCTGTCCCTTTCAATCATATTGTATCAATTTGTATTGTGCTGCTTTATGGTGTGATTACCGTCAAAAAACATTAGATCTCTTAATATATGCTACAACAATGCATTGCGTCGAATTTTGAATGTTCCTAGAAACAGCAGTGCTAGCATAATGTTTGTCGACCACGGCGTCCCATCTTTTAATGAATACATGCGAAAATCAGTTTACTGCAGCTTTATGCAGCGTATGCGAGATTCTAAAAGGTATAACAGATGGAGTGGTATTCTGTATGCATAAGTATTATATATACGCAATACTCATTTTTTCATATATATGTATTATTTACTTTTTTCTATTGCGATAGAAAATACAGTTTAGTTGTTAGGGATTTTTGTTTGTTGTTATTATTATATGCTTGAACCGATTATAGATATGTTTATGCACTTTCCGAAATAAAGAATGAAATGAATGAAATAATCATTATCGTTGAAGTATAAACAGGCCTTTAGTATTGTTGTCATGAAAAGATGGGGAGATTCATAATGTATACATATCACTGGTATCGGTATTAAAACGCACATCACAGGGCAATAAAACCAATGCAGTGGACATACCCATGCAAAAAGCGGACTACGAAACTATAGTATTTGGCAGAGGAAATAAAAGTAATATCCCATTGCCAGCAACGAGTTTACACAATATTTTAATGATAATGCTACTTGATAGAATTTCTAAAAGGCAAGTACATGTAGGCATGACACTTTTTATGACAAACGGGATATAATTTAAAGAGGCAATAAACGCGTTAAAGACGTTTTACTGTAGATCCGATCATGTCCGATACAATAACATTGGATTGATGAACTGAAATAGCTTTCATTAAAGTTACTTAAGCGTAAAATACAGAATGAGATTAAGTGAGTTTCACGCATACGCCCACTATTCAAAGTTTGTCATGCCACTGTATATGGTAAATGAAAGCACGGGTTTGCTGAGCTAAAACACTATTTTATTCCTCCATGGTTGTACCATGGAGTAAATAGTTTAAAAGATATACAGAACAGCGAGACGCGGAAATAAAAGGCAAAAAAAAAAAAAGCTACGATTGGTTAATAAGAGAGGCCTATGTTACTGCTATTTTCTAGCATAATAATTATCATAGCACTGTAAAGTGTAGCCGTTTTGGTGTTTAATCTAATTAATTATTTTAATAAACAATTATCAGTAATTAATAGGTCTAATAATATGTACCGTATATAATACAATAATGTAGGTTAAAAAAAACACAAATAGTGAGGTTTAAAATTTATAATTATATAATAGGCCTAGTATTAATAATGAAAATTTAGCCTACATGGTCCATTTTCCACACCCCCGCACTCCAATGGCTAACCTGGATACGGCCTTGGCTCCAGACAGCGTTTTTGAACTGGGGAAGGGGTAGGTGGGGAACAAATATTATCGCAAATATAGAAGTTTATGAATCTGAATAGTAATTTCCATTGCATAATTGTTAATTATACTTTTACAGTAGGCCAATCACTTGTACTTTATTATTATAATTTATTAACATTGAATTTTGATACAAGAATGTCATTGAGCTCATTCTTCTATTCGTTTAATATATTAGTTATTACATAATATTTTATTATGCATATACTTAGCCTTTAGCCTACTGTTACACCGATATGAGTTCTGAACGGCTGCAGTAGCCGATAATGAAAAGGAGAATAAAAGGTGAAATTGAAATTACGGTATAATTTCTTCCAGATTTGTACAGTAAATCATAAACATTTCTTCCTTACTCCAATTAATGTATGATTATTTTTTACTAGTTGTTGCCCAATCCAATCCTTGTAGCGCTATCCCATGCAACAATGGGTTTTGTACCCAGGTAAATGATACCGAATACACTTGCGATTGCCGTGGGACAGGATTTGTTGGAACAAACTGTGAAATTGGTAAGACTGATACACTATATTCATATATTATATATATATATTCATTATATATATATAATATATATGTGTATATATACGCCTATATATGTACATATACATATATATAATATATATAATTATTATAATTATTATTATAACTATACTAAAAATTATAAACTAATTATTATATATTTATCGTCACTATTTCCATGAACCGACAAATAGATTGCGATTGAAAAATTAATACTTTTTGATGCCAATTTCCGACCTGAAAAATTCGTTGCAGGATTCTTGTATTTATTAATTAAAATATATTAATAAATTGTAGTTATAGGTCACAATGTTTATATCGATCTATTAATTATTTAGTAATTAACTAATTTAACATGTTAATTAAGATATATTAATTAAGATATATTCATTAAGATATATTCATTAAGATATTCATAAATTCATGTGAAAATTGTTTACATAATTGCAGTTTATTTGTACGGCATTTCAACGGATATTTGTCACCTCATGTGGTACATCTTGAGCTATGCTTACCAAAAATGCGGTAAACTCGTGATAATACGTAGCATTTGCTTTTGTTTTGTTTTACATTTACATCCAATGTTAGGCCCACTGAATTGTTTAATGCTTCAATAATTGAAACCATAAATTATTTGGTTTACATATAATTTACAATGAAACTAATAATTTATAAGATTATTTTTTTGAAACAGAATAAAATAGGTAACATTTTATTGAAAAAAAAAAAATTTACATTGACGATGTAAGTTGATTTAATATGCTGAATCATTATTAATGGTACGTACCTATTATATTTCTATAAATTATTCAAAAAATATCTCATTAATCACACTATCGTAAATAGGCCTATTGAGGTATTATTAATTCTTAATTAAAGCATTATTCGAGCACCTTCATATTATTATTATTATTATTATCATTATTATTATTTTATATATTATTTATCAACCACATTAACATTGAATATATGAATTAGCCTATGTGCATAAAATTATCACAGAAAATAAAATTATTTTTTTAAACAGAATCAAATAAATAACATTTTTATTTAAAAGGAGGTTTAACATGGACGTAATTTTATTTAATATGCCGATTATTATTATCTCATTAATTAAACCGTCGTAAAATTATTATTATTATTATTATTATTAATAAATAATAAATACATCAATATCTGACGTCAGCCAAGAAGTTATTTAGCCTTTCTCAAACAAAGCTGCATGTTTAACTAACAAAGAAAGACAAATGATATACGTAATTATAATGCGCCTTTGGAAAAATATATTTCTTCACAATGAAATACTTCTATGCAACAAATTCCATTCACTCACCAAATTGTCTACTTATATCATAAACCTCTACATAAATATCTTCATAATTACAGTACAAAATATTTCAAAAAGTTA